TAAAACACAAGTAAACCTCTTTCTGGTATTCTTTGCCTTGAGCCAAGATCCATCTGACAACAGCTATGATATCCCTTATTCCACGTCCTCTTCTGAATCCGGCTTGAACCTCTGGAAGTTCTCTGTCCTAGGGCCCTGATAAATGATCATAAGTGTAATCAATCAGTGCATCCCTATTGGACACCTCTGCAATTTTAGTTCAGAACACAATATTCCTGACATTGTCTGATTATCAAGAAAACACACCTAGTAGGCCTTCTAGACACCATAAAAAATATTCATTTATAAACCTACTATACAGCCACAGTAGTCAAAACTTCCTGGTGTTGGTAAAATGACAGACACATAGACCAATGGAATAGAATTGAGGACCCAGAAATAGATCCATCGACCTATGGTCAGCTGATCTTTGACATTAAATGGGGAAGAGAATGTTTGTTTAATAAATGGTGCTGGCAAAACTGGATATCTATTTGCAGAAAAATGAAACAAGATCTGTACCTCACACCATACACAAAAACTAACTACAGATGGATCAAAGACTTAAATGTGAAACCTAAAACTATAAAGTTCCTCAAGGGAAAAATAGGGGCAAATTTAGGGGTCCTCATTTATGGCATAAATAGACTATGCCAAAATGCACAAACAGCAGGAGAGAAACTAGATGAATGGGACCTTCTCAAAATTAAATTTTTATGTGCTTCCAAAAACTTTTCCAAAAGACTCAAAAGAGAACCTACAGACTGGGAAAAAAATATTTGGCAATGACATATCTGACAAAGGACTTAGCTCTAGAATTTATAGAAAACTCCACCACTTCAATAACAAAAAGACAAATAATCCAGTTAAAAATGGGCAGAAGACATGAATAGACACTTCACCAAGGAAGATATTCAAGCAGCAAACAAACATATGGAGAAATGCTCACAATCATTAGCCACTTTGTTGTTGTTGTTGTTATGTGCCATCGAGTCAGACCTAGCTCATAGCGACCCCTCCTTGGGTTTCCAAGGCAGTATCCCTCTGGAAGTAGATTGCCCAACCTTCCTTCAGAGGAGTGGCTGGTGGGCTTGAATCACCAGCCTTTGGGTTAGCAGTCAAGTGCCTTAGGCATTATGCTACAAGAGTTCCTCATTAGCCATTAGAGAGATGTAAATCAAAATAACAATGAGATACCATCTTGCTCCAGCACTAGCAGCAGAGTTAAACAAGACAGATATAACAAACGCTGGCCAGGATGCGGAGAAATTGGGACTCTCATACCCTGCTAGTGGGACTGTGAAATGGTACAACCACTGTGGAAAGCAGTATGGCAATTCCTTAAAAACTTGGAATTAGAAATACCATTTGACCCAGCCATTCCATTACTAGATATATATCCTAATGAAATGAGAGCCAGGACAAGAACAGACATATGCACACCCATGTTCATTGCAGCACTATTTACAATAACCAAAAGATGGTACAACCTAGGTGTCCATCAACTGAGGAATGGATAACCAAACTATGGTACATATACACAATGGAATACTATGCAACACTAAAGAATAATGTAGAATGTGCAAAACACCGCCTAACATCGATGAACTTGGAGGACATTATGCTGAGTAAAATAAGTCAATCACAGAAGGTCAAATATTGTATTAGTCCATTATTGTAAAAGTCAAGGAAAGGTTTATCTATGGAAGGAAATTTTCTTTG